AGTATCATGAGATTGACGTGACCTGCCTTCTCCGTGAACCNATACAACTTAACATTAAGCCCATTGTAAACGTCTAATGAAAGTATAAAAGTATTTTTCGCCCTAATATTGACATCATTTGATGTTTGATTATTTCATAACTTATTTAAGAGATTAGATGATTGGGACCACTCTTATCATAATCACAATGAGTGGTAGTGTTGAGGCTTTTGTTGAGAGACTGGTGATAGTCTGTCACAAAACTACATGTGACTTATATTAGACTCAATTTTATGACTGCATATAACGATAGCGATGTTTATTTAATTATTTAATAATTTAATGTACATTTAATAAGCCCTGAATTTGTTGCCGTCAGATAAGAAAAGTTTTTTATTTCAGTCTCGAAAAGTACTGTTTTTGGACATTGTTTTGCATTTCACTCTCACATTAACAGTACATTAGATATCATTACAAAAAATTCACTGCAAATGTGGTGCGGAATTCAAATCAATCGTCAATTATTTCCACTCAAACTCATCCTATTCTTCTGGTTCGGAGGTATGTGTTCGCGACAGTCGTGTCAACCAATGCATCCACTGATCACGTGATTGTGTGCCCGGAGTATATGCAGTGAAAACCTGATATAATAAGTCTCTCGGGACTGCCATTTCAAAAGTTCCAATAACTTAGTCTATAAGCACCGGTAGTCGTCCCGAGCGGTGACTTATATCAGATTTTCACTGAATTATGATTACCGACAACAGCGGCGGCATGTCTTCTGCCATATATGACGATTCATATGAAACAGTTGGGCATTACTGTGGAGGAGACGGCGTTTGTCTATACCGTACTGCCGGCCACTCAGATGATCGGCCCTCCCATCGCCGGATTCATAGCCGACAAAATGGGAAATTACAAACTGGTCCTGGTCATTAATCTCGTGCTCACGATTGCCAGTTCGGTGGGCATTATGTTTGTGCCCTCCAGTGGCGACCCTAACGTCACCGAAAGGTTTGCTTTATTTTCTAATTTATTTCAATTGGGATTTGATTTTTGAAAAATTTTCTTTTAAAGTGTTTTAAAGTTTTGTTTTGTTTAAAATATATTTGAATATATTTTCAAATGTGTTGTATACAACTTGAAAATGATTTTGTTTTAAGTTTTATGCTTAAAGCACAAGTTTAATTTGATTTAAAAGTGAGATTTTGGTTGAAAAAAGTTTGCAAACTTTATAATTGATGCAAAACTCACATGTGCTTCAAATGTGATATCTATTTTCAAAATCAATGCAAATTTATTTCAATTGTAAAACATTTAACTAAAGGAACTGATCGTTCATTTGTTGGTGCCTTTCATTCATACTTTTTAGACAAATGTTTTAATTTTACCGGAGATTAAAGTTTTGATTCACAATCAGATGAGAGCTTAGCCTAAAAACTGCAAAATAATTAGCTTTCAATGCATTGATTGATCGGTTAATAACGAGTGATGAAAAGCAAACACAAATATATTTATTTTATTCATGAATTTAGTTAACAATTGCTTTGTCTGTTTTGGATGTATTGAACATAAAATATTAAGTATTTTCCCGAAAACTATATTTAATATATTATTCACAAAACAAGTTAAGAATCGAAACATTGAATTAAATTTCTAGCAATCATTTGGAAATATAAAAATACAATTATTTTATTTTATTTTAAATTATAGCTTCGAAGCGCTTATTATTTTCAATGAATTTGTAAGAAAATTATTTTTATTTCAAATTTACATAATATTTGTTTATTTGAATAAAACTTTTTATTTAAATGAACACACATTTGACTGATTAGATATAAATGACTGTATGTATGGCTAAGATATAAGCAATTTATCACTTATTAATAAAGCCAAACATAGTTTAAACAGAAATTTATTAGTTTATGAGATGTTTTAGAAAAATAAATAAATGATTTGAATTGACAAATGGATTAGTTTTTTATGATTGAAAGATATGTCTATTTAATGATAACCGTGGAGCCCATCATATCTACCAGCCCTTCCACATACACGGTAGAGGCGAATGACATGACATTTAATTATAATTTATATAACAATAGGAAATATTTTTTAAAACCGTTTTCCAGTGATTTTTCAACAAATATTTCCATTCATTTCTGGTCTATCGGCTCACAAATGGTCTATTGATTCAAGTTTTTCATAACCAAAACACTTGTCGGAAGTCTTTTTCCCAAACATATGAATGTTATTATATATTTTGATTGCCTTTTATAATATTATTGCTTCACATTTAATGAAAGTATTTCTCACAGAATTTTCGCAGACATAAGACAGAGATATCATATAAAATTTTATAGTTAATATAAATGTTATAAAAGGCGACTAATTATGTAATTTGATGTAAACGGATAAATGTCCGTAAATATTTATAAATGTAAACGTATGAATCGAGATACTAAATAGGCTTTTGACAAGTAATTCATACAGTTGTCTAATCAGATGATAACTTTCCCTGAATTTTCCATACCATTTAGTAGTGGTTTCATTTCAATCCACGGCTTTTATCATTATTTAAGCCTAATTTTATTTGTTACTCTTATTGCAAATGAGGTCTAATTGAGGCCATAGACCTCTCATATAGACCTTTATTAGCACTAATTGCTAACAAAAACACAAAACAACAAATTATTTAACTCTTGTTAAATCGGTTTCCCAGCACTCAGTGAATGGGAATCGCAATCATTTAACTAAATCTCATCACTATTTTTACAGTACTTTAGGATAATATTTGGTTTATATAATACGAAATCCATTAAAATATTGCTATAGTTTTTTTCCGTATACGGTATCAACTATTCTGTATATTATTAATAGTATTCACAATCTTTTATTATTATTCGCAACATATTTGTAATACAGAGCACCCCTACCCCTCAAAACGATTATGTAGTGCACAACCTATTCTTATACTGTATATAAAACATAAGCATTGATTGTATAGTAAATCGTAAAGCACTTCGTCTTAGGAGGGGCTGAGCGCTGAAAAGTTTGACATCCATTACACTAAGAAATAAAAGATACTTTTTAATACTGAATATATGATCATTAATTTTGCCATAAGTTACCAATGAAAGCATCGGGCTGACAGCTAAATAGCGATTTATAATATGGGACTCAAAAACTAGTCTATGATATCATCTGATAAATTGTGTGGTTTTGATGTGCATAAGAATTTCTACACAAATAATTACCATAAGTTTCATGAAATTATAGCCGATTTTCGTAGTAAATCACTGGTGAGTCAGTCATCCCATAGTCTGAAAGTCATTGTCTGAATGTCTTTGAAAAATGTTTTAATAAATAGAGAAACAGAAAGTTTTGTTCAGAAATTATTGGTTTGAATGCTTGTCTATAGAATCGGGAATTGATTGTGGGTTTTGGGGTATTATTTGTACTCATTTTGAAACAAATATTGAAGTTATTTTTACTAACTTATAATCAAAGATTTATGTCTCCATTACTTTTCAGAGTATTATCAAAAGGTTTTGATGTTTTTTTATTTGATTTGATATAAAATATTTGATTTATTTATTTATTAGATTTTTATTAAGCAATCAATTCAATGATAGTAGAAATCCGATGCAACATGTGCTACAATTTATAAATCATAAGGCAATCAAACGGTTAAAGTTCTAGTTTTTTATACAAAGTGTATCACAAAGAAATCTCATTAATATAAAATAGCATTTTAAAAAATAGCTTAATGGTCGAGTAAATTGTTTTTTGCTTTATATAACTTGCAATCTATGATAATAAAAACTTTTTTAAGCATTGAATTGATTCGCAAATTGAAATTCATATGAATTTATGCAATAAATAAATTTGTGCCCAAAATTATTTATACTTTTATTCGCATAGAATAACTGATTAATGCATTAAATAAAACAAAACTAAATGTTTAAACTTATAAAACGTGTTTCCAATATTCAATTCTAGTATTACTTTATACACTATATTCGTGATCAACGAATTAATTCAGCGATTTTTATGATCAAATATTATTGTTATTAAGTTTT